AAATTAGTGCCATATTTTTAGAGAGGGAGAGAAGAGAGGGAGAGACCAGAAACCAGAGAGACCAGAGAGAGAGAGAGAGGCCAGAGAGACCAAACCAGACTGAGGGACCAGAGAGAGACCAGACGGACCAGAGAGAGACCAGAGACAGACCAGAGACAGACCAGAAAGAGACCTATCAATTTTCCTCAGTCTGGGAAGAAATACCAAGATTTTAGTGAATCCCACGCTCTAGCAGCAAATATGAACGTGAATTCTGCAGCCCTTCTACCAAAACAGGAACAAAAAGATCTTCTCCAGAAGAATTCATAATTTAGATTTTGTATTTTGTTTTCCCATATTGGATTTTTACTCCAGTATTGCTCTGACATTTGACCTGGGTAACAGCAAGGCGTGGAATAGAAAACAGTGAGAAATCAATATTCAGCAGAGCAGGATACTGAGAGAAATGGTTGTTTTCGCTTGACTGGGAAAAGTCAAAGAATTAAAAGGTCCTGAGGTCAGAAAAGCAATCACAAAGTTTGCATTGAAAGCAGGAAATTCGACGCTAGAGTGATGCATTTAGTCAAGTTGGGCATATGGTCCAGAGAGAGGAGAATATGCAACGCCTTTAGTGCAGGTGAAAAACACTGCTTTTTATTAATTAGCAAATTTCTAAAATTGATTCTAAGCTGTGTCCCATCTGTAGATGGCAGTTTTTTGTGACCATTCCATTATAGTGACTATAGACCATAGAATATTTACTCTCTTGGGTCTCTCTCTCGGCTCGCTCTCCCTCTCTGGTCTCTCTCCCTCTCTGGTCTCTCTCCCTCTCTGGTCTCTCTCCCTCTCTGGTCTCTCTCCCTCTCTGGTCTCTCTCCCTCTCTGGTCTCTCTCCCTCTCTGGTCTCTCTCCCTCTCTGGTCTCTCTCCCTCTCTGGTCTCTCTCCCTCTCTGGTCTCTCTCCCTCTCTGGTCTCTCTCCCTCTCTGGTCTCTCTCCCTCTCTGGTCTCTCTCCCTCTCTGGTCTCTCTCCCTCTCTGGTCTCTCTCCCTCTCTGGTCTCTCCCTCTGCGTTGTTCACAAACCTCATTGAACCCAGACTCCAGTGCAGCGAACTCCAGAATAAAGCTGATCTCTTGTGTTTTGGAGTTGGACAGAGTGACGAGGTGATGCAGCAGCTCGTCCACCTGATCGTACAGCGAGGACACGGCCTCCACAGCCGCTCTGCAACAGACAAACACACATTTACACCGAGGGAATCTTAAAAAAGGTATCATTCATTCATACTGAGGACAAGAGAAAAGCATTATCAATTTCATGTTTGCCCTTTAACCCCTTTGGCGCCAGCGTTTTTTGAGAAATGATGGATCTTTTAAGAGACATTTTGAGCAGTGATGTTAAAACTGAGCAGGTCATTAAAACAGCCTGCAGAAGTCAGAACTTTTACAGAACTCCCTGAGCAGTTAATTTGACGGCTTATACTTTTTAAAGCGTAATTACTGCTAATTTACATGTCTTTTTCTGTTTCCATATGTAGCCAACAGAGTCCTACAGCAAAAACTGGGTTACTCCCCTCGCTTCATGCAGGCAGTGCACCTGCCAGGGTTGCGTCAGTTCATGTGCTCACAATCACTCTCCATGATTCCCAAAGCGCAAACTCTGGATCCTCCACTCCTCTCACATTCAACACTCCTCACACCATCATTCCATCCATTCTTTGGACTACCTCTTGGTCAAATACCACTCATGCATTCTCTTCGTCAATCTATTACTGTTACATTTTTCATTATATCCATCCTAGTCACACATATCATACACATTCAATTTTTTACTTTCCCTTTCTTTTGTACCTCATGTTTCCGCTCCAGAGAACACAGTCAGCAAAACTTCCCTCTCATAGAAAAACTTCACACTTATTTACATTCTTTCCTCTCACCACTCTATTCACAAAGAACCAAGACACCCTCAGTTATTGTGTGTGCAACCTTTCACACAACATCCTTCTGCTGGTTTCACCTGTAGTCGTCAGTGGCACAGTGGCTGCTCTCGTCTCTCCGCAGACTGGAGAGTGAAGCCCCGCCCTCCCGCTGCAGCTGGACCAATCGGCTGTCCTGAAGGATGCTGCACATCACTGCCTTGTATTTTGACGACAGCTGCTCAGCATTCTGGGAAACAAAAAGGATCATTGGTTTGATTTAGTTTAAGTTTAGTTTACACATCACTTTTTGAACCCATTTCTCTGACTAACTACAGCGCCTTTCACAGACTAGAGTCACAAAGCGCTTCACAATTGATGTGGGCATTTGTCTCTCACTCCACACAGAGATGGGGTGTGGGGTCGCCAACAGGAGGCGCAAGCCAGACCTATTGTGTATGTTTTAAGTGTTAATTACGTTGGCGTCAGAGGGCAGCGGCGTGGACTCCAGGATGTGGATGGTTTTCTGAAGGAGGCTGATCACATTGTTGCACTGATTCGTCAGGTTTTCCACTCTCTGAAACAAATAAAACAGTCACTCATTCATTAAAATTACACTAAAATGACTGCTTTTATTGGACACCAGTTAATATTACACAAATAAAAAGAAAAAAAAACCACACACCCTTTACCCTCTGCGGGCGCTTATCCCTCTCTAAGCTCGGGTCCTCTTTTTTTTTTTGGTATCAAAGTATTAACAGCTAGCTAAGAAACATTGCCACTACTTATTTTGTATATTTTGGGTGCTTTTACTACTGTCCTGTATGTGCGTGAAACATTGAAATTTCCGCACTGTGGGATGAATAAAGGATCTCTTATCTTATTATTGCATTAGGAACCGGTTTAAACATCTCTCGGGTTCCTATCCCTCTTCTCCTCCTCTCTCGCCGGGGTCTCTCGCTAGAGTCTCTCTTTTGAGCCTCTCTCTTTCGAGAGGGCCTGCACAATATCTACAAAAAGATTTTTATTGCGATAATGCCAACTACTATATAGATCAAAACTGATCTGTTGGGATTGTTTTCTAGGAAATAGCAAGGCAACTCTTGGCTAAGGTATGCCCTACAAGCGCTTTGATTGTGCTTTGATTGCTATATGATAGAGTGTAATGAAAGTGCCAAATAGTGATAGTTTCACTGACCGCTCTGTAGTGGAGCCAGCTGCTCTGGCTGAAGTGGGAGGAGCCTCCAAAGTCCAGCGGGAGCTGCCTCAGATCCACGTGTTTCTGCAGAGACTTCATGGAGTACAACATCTCCACCTGCAGAAACAACCACATCATCATAGTCATCGTCACTGAGCGGCGATCAGACGTTCTCTCACCCACTCTCTCCATCACTCACTCCGGTCTCTCCCTCAACTCCTCTGGTCTTTCAATCACTCACTCTGGTCTCACTGTGTGATTTAATTGCGGCCTGACCGAGTGTGACATCACCACAATGTTAGCCTTATGCGGAAGAAGCCAATTTGAACAGAAGCTAGCTTGGGCAAAATGGGCATTTGTTCCACTCCATAACAGTCACATAGTTAAATTTGGATTTAAAAGTTAGCTTTAATGAATTGGTGAAAAGTCCTCTATGTGTGAAGGAGAGGTTCCGCAGGTCTTTCCTTCCTGCTGCTGTCAGACTGTACAACAATCAATAAGGACCAATAAGGACTAATGAACACTGCCAACTTGATTCCAGTGTCATTCTGGCATCGTTGCAATATCCTTACCTTATACCAGAATGTGCAATACACAGCTGCCAATATACAGTCGTAAACATACTGCTGATAATGTACAGATGTAAACATACTGCTGCTAATGTACAGATGTAAACATATAACTACACTTTACTTGAACAAGATTACACAGTATTTTATACTTGCCTATTATTTTTTGTCAATTTTAAATTTTTACATCTATTATATTTTCAAGATAGAGATTTTATACTATTATTGATGCTAGAGTTAGATTATTTTAATTTTGTTTAGTATAGCTATTTTTTCACTTAACATGTGCTGTGTGCTCCTCTTTCCTACTGTCCTATAACCTGTGATGCAACACCGAAATTTCCCCACTGTGGGACAAATAAAGGATCTCTTAATCTTACCTGCAGAGAAGACGGTTTGTCCAGTCGAACCGGTGAGTCTTTATTGATCAACAACAGAACAGAATGGACAGAGCCGGGGGTTCCCTCCTGCAACGAGACACAACGGTACTGGCTTTAGGGCGAGTGAAGATCAAACCAGATGAATGAGACCACAAATAATTATACAATAAAATAACACAATATACTACAGGGCTGGGCCATATATACCTGGCGGCTGTGATACTGGTATAATGTTAAGGGTGGTATTAAAGTGAAATATAGTGCCTTGCGAAAGTATTCGGCCCCCTTGAACCTTTCGCCACATTTCAGGCTTCAAACAAAGATATAAAAATTTAATTTTGTCAAGAATCAACAACAAGTGGGACACAATCGTGAAGTGCAACAAAATTTATTGGAAAATTTAAACTTTTTTAACAAATAAAAAACTGAAAAGTGGGGCGTGCAATATTATTCGGCCCCTTGCGCTAATACTTTGTAGCGCCACCTGCTGCAATTACAGCTGCAAGTCGCTTAGGGTATGTCTCTATCAGTTTTGCACATCGAGAGACTGGAATTCTTGTCCTTTCTTCCTTGCAAAACAGCTCAAGCTCAGTGAGGTTGGATGGAGAGCGTTTGTGAACAGCAGTCTTCAGCTCTTTCCACAGATTCTCGATTGGATTCAGGTCTGGACTTTGACTTGGCCATTCTAACACCTGGATACGTCTACTTGTGAACCATTCCATTGTAGATTTGGCTTTATGTTTTGGATCATTGTCCTGTTGGAAGATAAATCTCCGTCCCAGTCTCAGCTCTTTTGCAGACTCCAACAGGTTTTCTTCCAGAATGGTCCTGTATTTGGCTCCATCCATCTTCCCATCAATTTTAGCCATCTTCCCTGTCCCTGCTGAAGAAAAGCAGGCCCAAACCATGATGCTGCCACCACCATGTTTGACAGTGGGGATGGTGTGTTCAGGGTGATGAGCTGTGTTGCTTTTACGCCAAACATATCGTTTTTCATTGTGGCCAAAAAGTTTGATTTTGGTTTCATCTGACCAGAGCACCTTCTTCCACATGTTTGGTGTGTCTCCCATGTTTGGTGTGTCTCCCAGGTGGCAGGTGGTTTAAACGAGACTTTTTATGCAAGGCAGAGGAGAATTATGTTGCTATTGCGATTTTTCCTTCCCACATTGTGATATGTTTTGGCCGTATTGTACAGCTCTACACAACACCATGAGTCACACGAACAGGTTAGACATGGCACAGCACATTCACCTCATAGATTACACTGAACTCAACCGTGGGAGAATGACGCTGACTCATGATAAACTTTATTTATCAACAGAAAAAAATATCTTTCTGTTCTTACATCAACAAATGAAAAAAGCTGTCGTTTATCTGAGGTTAAACAGTTAAAGACTTGATAAAAAACAGAAATCCAGAAAAGTTTTTATTAAAGCCTATGTTCAAAGTTCAATTCTCACAAAGGACTTTACAAAGTTGGGGATTCGCCAACAACAGATCAGATAAAGTCCTCTGAGGCGATGGCTGTTGTGATTTAGGATGATGCACAAACACATTGAACACAACAAAGTCTTGTCTCAGAACGGTTTTGACAGTGATGTAGTGTTGTACCTGTAGAGACCGGAGTGCAGTATACAGAGCGGGCAGAGAGGGCGCTCTTCGGACGTCCATCAGAACGGTCAAACCCAGGGATTGCACCTCCTTCCTGCTCCAACACAAAGCATTATGGAGATTTACAGGAAGTTCATCATATGTATTGCCCTTTGCTGCCTGTAGCTTAAACATGACATGGTGCCCACAGAGGTGCCCTGGTCCCCTGTTACTGCCACAGAAGACGGCCTCACAGAAGTAGTACACTTGGAAGCTGGCCCAAGTTTTTATCCTTAAATAGAAATTGAGAGAAACTGAAAGAGCCTCAGACATATGAAATTGTTTTACTTGATTGTAATTGTCATTTTACTGTAATCTATCCATCCATCCATCCATCTTCTTCCCCTTAATATATTTCTGGATCGAGGATGGCAGTCGGAGATGCCACCCAGTTCACAGAGCACCAGCAATTACATTAATGTAATTCTGACTAAATTCTTCTCTGTGGTTCACCTGAGAGTGGAGAGGTAGTAGAGCAGCACATGCAGCAGTTCCGCACTGTCACAGTCTGGACTGGACCACACAGCGTTCCGAGGATTAACAGTCACCAATGCTCGCCCACTTCGGTCTCTGGATCCTGAAAGAGACAAGGGGAATACATTCGAGGCATGGAAAGTTTATTTGTAAAGCACAGTTGATATGCAAGGCAACTGTGATGAACAAAACAAGAAAGATTTTCATGAAAATCATAAATAATCACAGTGCATTAAAAAGAGAGAAGATACAATGCTACAATTTGTCATCATTGCACTTCCTGTGTTCATACTGCTGTTGTGATTGAGGGGGATACACAAACACATTAACTTGAACTTTAAGTAGTCATTGGACTTTACATTGTTCTTTGGAAAAAACATTTTTTTTTTTTTAAATAGGGCTGGGACTTGATTACAAAAATGTATGCAAGAAGTCGAGGCTTTGTAATAAATTAATCTAAATTAATGAAATTGTTATAGCATATAAATATTTGACTCAAGAACAGTGAGAAGTATTGTTTTCACCTCGAGTTTTAGTATATCATTGAATAATGACTCAATACAGACACTTAAGCAACAAGATATGTATTATTTTTGTCCAGCCAAGTCCAACAGACCAGTGCAATTTGTCATTAAGTGTAACAACAAAAGAAATAAGAAATAAAATGTCATTTTTAAATAATATTTTGTAATTATTAGTCCTGCCCCTAGTTTCAAATCTATTGCATTTAGTATAATATGTAGCTGAATGTGTTCCTCACCAGGCAGACAGATTGCTCCGGAGCTCAGCAGGACTTTGTTGAACCTGGACTGGGGAGACCGCTGCAGACCCACAGACTGGAGCTCAGATGGAAGCTCAGATGGAAGCTCAGATGGAAGCTCAGATGGAAGCTCAGATGGAAGCTCAGATGGAAGCTCAGATGGAAGCTCAGATGGAAGCTCAGATGGCGGTTTGGATGATTCTGGGACTAAGCCATTAATCAGAGCAGTGTTTGAGTGGACTGCATGCAGACCTAGGAGAGGCAATAGAACGACAGCTTGGATCAGAAATATCTTTTATACTCAGTCATGAACTAGCAAAGAGAGAAACAGCTCTCCAGACAATAACGTAAAAGTGACCATGTAGAAATCAAGGACAAGAACATCTTTAAACTAATATTTTTGGTTTGAGTCAGCCAGCTTTTCTTCTGTTCTAACAAAAGCCTTGTTTCCACCAGCTCTACCCTATCCTACTCTACTCACAACAAACTAGTATCCTGGGGAAATTCTTGGGTAACCATGGCTTCCACCAGCACTCTGTTTGATCGCGTCAGTTCGAACACTGTAGTAACAGCTCGGCCTGGATAGAACCAGGGGCAAGAGGGACTAAAGAAGGACCTGGCAAAACAGGGCCATGTGGAAACGCTCCCATTTGGGGTAAAGTAGAGTAGAGTAGAGTAGGGCTGGTGGAAACTAGGCTATATAACTAGGCTTCCTAGTTAGTCATAGGCAATAACTGATGCCCCAGTATACCAACTGTGCTATAAAAATAAACTTGCCTTGCCTTAACCAATACTTGGAAGAATAAATAGAAAATCAGGAGTAAGGGCGTAGAGATCTATATAATTTCAAGCCACTTAAGTCATTAGCAGATATCTATCTAAATTATTTGAAATTTTGAAACTATGTTCAAGAGGTTAGAATGTGTTGAGTCTGTATGAAGGGAAACATGATGGATATGGGTCTTTGGTTAAAGGTTTCACTGAAAAAGAGGAGGAAGAAGAGGATTCTACAGGTTTTTTTTTTTAAGATAAAGTATTTTTTGTACCTGACAGTTTCTTCCTCACGGTGTTCTGAGATGTTCCTGTGACATGTCTTGCCAGCTGTTTTAAGTTCTCTCTCTGGTCTCTCTCCCTCTCTCACCGGTCTCCATGTTTCTCTCTCTCTCACTCCCTCCCTCTTTCTCACTAGTCTCTTTCTCTCTGGTCTTTCTCTGGCAAGATACGTCACAGGAACGTCACGTCACCACTCCGAGGAAGACAAGGCAGAGATCGAAACAGTTAGCACAAAAGAAAACTCTAGCTGAAAAAAAGAATCAAATAGTAGAATTCATCAGAAGACCAAAGAAACCTTGGACGAGGAGGAAGAGGAGGAGGTGGAGAATGGATTTTGTAAGAGTAGCCAAAAGGGAGAGGAGGAGACACTGTTTCAGTACCTTCAGTGGGGACTTTAGGGTTGAGTCCTTTCCTCGAGTTGAAAACACCGTCTTCAGTCTTTGGTGTATGTAAATTCACCGGCGCCTGTAAGCAAAGTTGTGGCCCTTTTGGCACGTCCTCTTGTCCGTTCTGATGCTCAAACGTTTGGGAAGTTGATCGTTTTGGATTAACTTCTTTGATAATTTCAGGTTTAGACACATTTTCGGACATAATTGGCGTTGTTACATCTTCCCCCGTCTCCATAATAGTACTGTGCATTGTAAGGGATTCATTCCTGTCCTGAATTATTTCCATATTTCCATTTTTGTCTTGATTCTCTTTACTTGGAATCTGGGAATTTAAGGAAGGAGCTCCAGAATCCATGGGAAGCAGTGCATCTGTTGAAATTGTTGTTGATTGACCCACAGCACTTTCTGGACAAGACTTTATCAATCCATTTTTTGTCAGTTCAATGATTGTATCCAAATTTGACACTAAGTGCTCTGGTTTTGCATTTGCAATAACGTGGTTTACAATATTTGAAACCGGATCGTTTTGGCATGGCATCGAGTCCAAGGATAGCTCTGTGTTATTAGCTAAGCTTGTCTTATGAAGATTCGACTGATCTTCAATTGTCTCTGGTGTTTCATGGGAGGTTTTTACATGCTGCTGTTGAGAAAGTTCCTTGTCGGAGTTTTGTGTAGACTCATTATTGTTACGATCTTGCATTTTGGAATCACCAGTCGGTGAATACTCCTCTGTCCCTTGTTTGACCAAATCCAACTCATCACGCTTACTAGAAAGATGATCAACGTTCACAATTTCTTCTTCAAAATCCAAAAGCAGCATAACTTGTTTTGGTTCAACAACTTCGCTGCTTGTAGAATCCTGCTTTTCGACAGATTCCGCTTGGTTTTTCTCCAAAATTTCACTCTGCAAATGTTCGAATTCCGTCTCAAGCATATCGATCTGCTCCTCTAGCAACATTACACTAGACTTTGACTCATCGGTAGTCATTGGTAGCCTTGTGTTTGCTACAAGCTCAACGGTGTCCACCATTTCAGACAGCATGCGTTGAATTACCACATGATCAAAGTCTTGTTCATTGGAGGTTCCTGGTTCTTGTTCCAGGCTTAGACACTGTCCTTCCGCCTCAGGAGACTTCGACTTTTCTAAATGTATACAGGGCTGTTTTTCAGTCAAATGCAGTTTGGAGACACTTTCTGAACAATCCATACCCATTTGCAGATCCATGTTCTCGTCTTCATTAAGCGACTTGGGTCCATCTTTACCCGAGTCATGTACAGTTTCCACACCTGAAAGCAAATCATCTTGCAAGCTGCATGGTTGAATGTGTGTGTTTTGGTCAGAAATTACTTCTTGCACGTCTTCTATTTGTGTGTTCTGAGATTCCACCTTGTCCAAATCCAAAATATCCTCATTGCAGCGTATCGAGTGTTTGACAGGGCTCTCAAAAAGATCAACCTTTTCTTCCAAATCAAAACATGGTTGGTCACTTACGATAAACACAGTCATAGTTTCTGGTATTTCAACTTGAGAAATGTTATTTGTTTCTGCGCTTATATTTAGCAAATCAATTTCAACAAGCAATGCATCTTGTTTTTCCACATCACTGTGCCGTTCTGGTTGAATCAAATCTTCAACAAGTTCGTCTGACAATTTACCTACTCCCAAAAACTTAAATTCGGGCTCATCCAAATGGTCATTTTCAAAAAGTTCTAAATCCCTACAGTCTGTTGCCTCTAAATATACAATACGTGTTTGTGACAGCTCAGTGTGCTTTTGACACTGATCATCTATGTAAGCAGCTAGCGATGATTCAATATTGTCTGAGGTTCCGTCCGCGTTTTTACAAAGCAGTTTTTGTACATTTTCAGAATCAAGCGCATTAGTGTCCATGGAGATATTTTGACTTTCAGTTTCAAGGTAAGCAACTTCTCTGGTTGTTTCTGAAAGCATTTTTCCAATGGGCTCAGACTGGATTTCAGATGGCGTTTGTTGCATTGGTACAATCTCTGTACTTTCGTCTTCCGAGTCTGAACATTTCCCGAATCTCTCATTCTCAACTTGGTCTAAGAGATCCATCTCTCGCACCTCTTCTACTCCCTTTATTTGCGTCTCAAGTCTTTCAAATTCAGCTTCAAGCACCACTTCTCCATTGTCTCCAGCGTTTCTGCCACTCAACTCAACCTCCTCCTCTTCCTCTAGACTTCTACTAACAGTCGCTACATCCTTCCGGTGTTCAATCAAATCTACATTCACTAAACCATCTACTTCAACAGCTTTAGGGTCAAGAACTTTCTTTTCAACTGGTTTTGAGCATTGGGTCAAGTTTGTACCTTCTTTTAGACTCTTCTCACCAAAAGACGTCTCACCAGTGGAGGGTTGATCCATGGGTTTAAGAATAACGGGTCCATTGACAACTCCAGAGCTGTCCACTTCCACAACCGTCTTTGAATCATTGTGTTTCGACTCTGTGCATGAGCTGAGAGAGTCTTTTGATGTTGATAAGTGTTTTGGAGTGCTTTGAATATTCGTGGGAACCGTTTGCGTGGCTGGGGATTGTGAGCTTGTAGTGCGTGCTTTGTGCTGCTGGCTGATGAGCTGCGTGAGCGAGCCTTTTTGTGGCGAAAACCGTGGCAAGGGCAAGTCAGCCAACTCCACGTATTCCCCCTCTGAGTCAGATTCGTCGCTGCTTGGCGTACACTGGTCAGCCCGACACGGCAGCGATGTCGTTTCTCGCTCCAAACTACACAACAAAGTCTTTTCTTCCGTTGTATCTCGTTCAAAAGACGAGTTAAATCTACTGTCCTTCATAGATGCATCTTTTAGCGAAGTTCTTGGTCGGCTGACGAACTGAGGGTAGACGAGATCCTCCCACGGCACTCGGAAAACGTCCCCGTGAGCAGAGAGCAGCAGTCTCTCCATTTTGGACACCCCCCTTTGCTCGCGGTCACGGTTGACAGAGTCCAGCCAAGCCATAGTGAAGATCGAGCTGAGGGCTAGCTCTGGAATCTCCTGCTCTTCCACATGTCGGCTGGTGGTGGAGACGCTGCAAAGGAGGAGGCGTGGGGTGGGCGAGCAGTGACGCGACGAAGAGGCAGAGGAGGAGGACGAGGAAGGGGAGACCAGGAGGTAGAAGTCCCCCGGCCGGAGCAGGCACTGGTCCAGGTGACACAGTTGGATGACTATCTTGTCGTGAAGGCACAGTGGCCAGCCCTCGTGACGGAAGAGCAGACCACAGTACGGCAACTAGAGAGGGGCAGAAGACAGAAGATGATTAATGACATGTAAGGGTTAAGCTAAAGTTTATTGATCCCTGTAGGGAAATGTGCCCTATGCTTTTGACAAGACCTGAAATGCCAACCCATTTCCAGATGATGCTCTTAGTCAGGACCAGAGCAAGAGGATTTTACCTTCATTCATTCATTCAAAACAATAGGATTTCCCCTATTGTACATATTTTTAGTAATAGGAGAAACTCCATATAAGGGTCTTTTATAAAAACAAAGAGCTTGTTCTGTCTATTTACCAAATGTTTGGGGTGGTAGACTTCAGAAGACAGTAGATTTGAAGTTTAAGCTGTAGATCATTCAATATGACTAAATATTACTTAATTCTGCTGTTCATTATCAGAACACATTGCTTTACTTGAGTGGACAAATGAAAGCATTGGTTCAATCATTGATCATTTCTGAATCAATATATTGTCTATCAAAGGGATTTATGATGACAGGCCAAGCGGCAAAATGCACAACAAATGAAGAAACGTTGAATAATATATTTTACATAGCTGCAATGCGCAACGTTACCATAAATATTATACAGAATAAAACTAGATACAGAGACTGTTGGATCTAGAGAGACACAGAGGGAAACAGACAGAGAGACAGAGTGACAGAGTGAGAGCCAAAGACAAAGAGAGACAGACAGAACGCTGAAGTAGAAACAGAGACATAAAGACAGTGACAGAGAGAGACACACCCCTTGTAAGAAGCTGTTTCCTTTGTAGTAATATATAACACATAATCAATAACTTGTATATAATCTTTCCTGCACATATTTGCCATCGTGGCCAATAGGAGCTTCTGGATAGGTTGCCGCTCCTTTCAGGCAGCGATCACACGAGTCACCTTATACAAACATGACACACGCCTCAAATACGCAAGAGTTCACAGGGCAAGAACAGACTAGACCTGGGACCGACGAGGGAGGAAGGAAGAGAAAGAAGAGCATTGAGTAATCAGTGAGAGTCAGGTCTGAATCATGCAAACACAGTAATCTGTAATCCATCTGGAGGTGAGAATAACCGGTATTAAAGGGATAACCAGGGTGTTACAAATGTCACAATGCACGATCCAGGGAGAGTGAGCTTTTGACAGTGTGGACGGTGCTATTCAGTTTCAGAAGCAGATTCTGTAAATACGCAGTCAGCTCAGAAAATGTTTGCGCCCGCATGAGTGATGTCAATAAGGCTGAAAACGCTGTGAAACAATACCAGGCCTGTTGGTGGCGCTGTGATTCTTAATGCGGCGGCATTATGGCTGAGTGGATAGCACTCTCGCCTCTCAGCAAGAAGGTCCTGGGTTCAAATCCCGGTTGGACCAGGGCCTTTCTGAGTGGAGTTTGCATGTTCTCCCCGTGTCTGCGTAGGTTTCCTCCGGGTGCTCCGGTTTCCCCTACCACTAAAAATATGTACAATAGGTCTGGCATGTGCCTCCTGTACTGGCACCCCCACTCCCAAAAAATAACAATTGTAAACCGCTTTGAGACTCCGATGTGCAGTGAAAAGGCGGTATATAAATAAAGATTACTACTAATTACTACTACTACTAATACTAATGCGCATCCTTATGAGTAAACCATAGACTAAACAGACAAAAGGAAAAATAGTTCTCTCTGCTGTCCCTTCCTTCACCTCTTCTGTCTCTCCTCTCTCTCTCCTTCCCTCCTCCTCCCCTCCACCTCTCTCTCCTTCCCTCACTTAGTTATGCGTCCATTCTTTTTCAGTGTAATTTCTCAGTCTGAATTAAGATGCAATGAAGAGATCTACAGTTTGATTTGTGAAGAGAACCAGCATGACTTCCTCATCCTTCTTATCCTGCCCTTTATGTACAGTATATAACTTTGCACCAATTAATTATATAATATATATATATATATATATATATATATATATAATTAATTGGTTTTTTTTTTATTTTTTTTATTTTTTTGAAAGACTGTTATTGAAGCCTTTACAGATAAGTACTAGCAGCTATACTTAGTATAAAGTATATACTATATAGTATAGTATATAGTATAAATATACTTGTATATTTTGTGTGCTCCCTGTGTGCTCCGGATCTAACCGGGCTTTAGGCTGTACATGTGGCCGCAGCCCTAGTTTTACATGAACATCTCGGGGCTCCAGTTGTTGGTGCTGAGTGGGCAGGTCTGTGTGGTCAGTGATCTTAGCTCACAGACTCATAGTGTAGTGGGATAAACACATTTGAAGCTGCAGTGTTAACAGTACACAGAGATCACGTTACACAAGCGTCTGCTCCTTGTATGTTTGGGGTTTGACCTGATTAGTCTGCAAACGTGAGGAGAAACAACCACTAATGTGCCCACTGTGATTACAGCCCAGACCTGTCTGACGAAAAAGCATGCATTCATCCATCTAACAGCTGTTCAAAAGATTAAAACTACTCATAAAATGTGTCAATTTGGCGTTTTTGAGGAAAACCTGCTTGATCTCATATTCCCAGGCAGTAAGACTTTGGATCAAGGGATGTCTGCTTTGATTGGCTGTTTGAAATGACGATGTTTTGGAAAAATATAATTCAAGGAAAGTTTTGGAGATATATCATGAATGTGTTAGCACTGGCTTTAAAATCAGACACATATTGCAAATTGTTGCTTGCAATGTTTGATGTTGACAGAATAATTGCTTGTGGGTTATCAATGTCAATATTTAAACAGGCTATTGTTAAAGTGCTCGCGTGTTCCACCACCTTCAGTAGTGGTAGAAGGTAAAAACAGTTGGCAGAGATACAACCGAAGGATTGTATGTTCACTCTTTTTTTGATGTATTATTCATTATTTTTATATTTTTCTTCTTTTCTTGCACGAGGTTCCAAGAACATTCAATCTTCCTGGACAGTAGTCATCCCGCTCCCTATGGACCAATGGCTCCTATATTTGTTTCTTATTGTTTTAACCATTTTATTTTCTGATCTCAAAAACTCAATCAAAAACTTTGTCAAGTCCTCCTAGACTAAACTGAATTGAAATGAAACAAAAACTTAAAAGGGAACTAGCATAATATGGTTAGCAATAGCTTTGTCTTCTAACTGCTCGCTCATAAACTGCTTCATAACCAACTGTAGCTCGTTAGATGAGTGTAAAATGCGCAGAGACACCGCTACAGTGCCTCCTTGTGTTTGTGCTGTGGTAATACTCACGCAGGCATCTTGCTGGAGGCCCTGGAGGAACTGTTTGGCAGGGAGCAGGAAGTGCAGCAGGTAACGTAGGCCGTCGCCGCGGTAACAGCGCTCCACAACAGTGAGGACCTGACAGAGGACAGTGGGAGACGTGTCCTGGAACGGCGGGTACAGAGCGGACAGCGCCGTCTGGAGACACCGATCCAATGACTCAGAGTCCTGTGGGAAACAGGAAGTCCCATGAATTCACGCGGCAAAATTGAGAGCACAAAGAAACTCTAAAATCACTGTAGAAAACTTTGATGTAGACTACAAGAAAGAAAAAGAGCTCAACCTATAATTACTCTAACATTGTGCTCATTTAAAAGAAACATTTTCAGGTATTCATAAAAAGTTACGTCTAGAATTTACAGATAATAAAAGAGATCATACATTGGATTCAAACAGGCACCCTACTTGCCTTTCCGTTAGGCTTTTATATCTGGTTCTGTATCCTAGCCACCGACACACAGTATCGGTAGTAGTAAATCAGTATCTGGGGAAAGCACTGATGACTTAAATTTAATACATTTGGAGTAAAATAAAAATAAATATAAAAATCAACTGGTTGGGAGCCGTCAAAATAATGGCCTCTGGGAGTCCTAACGTTGAGAAAAAGTTGGTTGAGAAAGAACTATAGTTTACAGGCAAATACAAAAAATAAACATATTTGGTTATTAGGGCTGCACAAAATATTGAAGAAATATCGTTATTGCGATATTTGTGTGTGCAATATCCATATCGAAAATATGCGCGATAATATATATTTTTTCTTTTAACAGATAAAACAGACAAACACAACAACATTCAACAAATACAACAAAACAAACAACAAAGTATAAAAAATATATGCATTTAAATGTTTTTGTTATTAGTCTCTTGAGTTTCATGCATTTTAGGAGAAAAAAAATATAAAAAAATAAATCACAATAATAAAGTTATTGCAATACTAAACACTCAAATCAAATATCGCTCTAGTTTCCAATATCGTGCAGCCCTACTGGTTAAAAACACACAATAATGCAAAGGTATATTAGATGAACGAGATAATACAATGATCACGACTGTCTGGTGGAACTAATGAGAAATCAAGACAATCAAGCCATTTTACCATTATTATCTTTTTTTTTGTGCCATAACATTTATAAAGACGTTGCAGTGTGTAGTTTGTAATTGCAGATGTATTGTGGCTGTCTGACTTTGTGGGAGTGTTGTGAAACAAACAAAATTCCGTTCTTTGTGCAGCTCCTGTGCTTTAGTGGCGGCGGCTCCAAACATCACAAAAATATAAAACCGTCATCTTCTGAGCATGCCGAGCTACCAAAGGATTTCTGCTCCGGTTCAGAGACAAAAGCACGAAACATTTACAGCCGTTTCTGACAAAGACACAACTCAAACAAGGGCTGGCTCGCACGGTCAAAACATTAGAACAAGATATGAGAAGGATATATCACCATAACAATATAATTCATACTAAATCAACGCTGGATAAATATTTAACTTTATTGAAAATGACTAATAAATCACTCTCAAACCGGTTTGCTTCTATCAGTAGTTTTCACATGGTCTTGGGCCTCGTCTTGGTTCTATAATTTCGGTCCAGGTCCTATAGTCTTGGCCCTGGTCCTATAGCCTTGGTCCTGGTCCTATAGCCTTGGTCCTGGTCCTATAGCCTTGGTCCTGGTCCTATAGCCTTGGTCCTGGTCCTATAGCCTTGGTCCTGGTCCTATAGCCTTGGTCCTGGTCCTATAGCCTTGGTCCTGGTCCTATAGCCTTGGTCCTGGTCCTATAGCCTTGGTCCTGGTCCTATAGCCTTGGTCCTGGTCCTATAGCCTTGGTCCTGGTCCTATAGCCTTGGTCCTGGTCCTATAGGGGGGGGTCGATCCTGGGACCTCTTCTTTTCAATCTCTACATGCTGCCGTTAGGTCAGTTAATACGCAGAAACAAAGTTTCCTATCATAACTATGCAGACGACACTCAGATCTATGTCTCACTGACTGCAGGAGAACATGGACCAGTGGACTCACTCCTTCACTGTATCCAACAGATCAGTGAGTGGATGCAAAACAACTTCCTTCAGCTAAACGCAGACAAAACTGAAATGATTGTCTTTGGTCCCCAGAAACAAAGAGAGAGCGTCATCTGTCACCTACAGTCTCTCTCCCTAAAACCTTCAAACAAGGTCAGAAATCTAGGGGTAATACTGGACTCAGACTTAAATTTTAATAGCCACATCAAATCAGTAACATCAGCAGCTTTTTACCATCTAAAAAACATTTCCAGGATCAAAAACAGTGTCTAAAGCAGACTTGGAGATTCTTATCCATGCATTTGTCTCCAGTAGGTTAGACTACTGCAATGGCTGCTCACAGGTCTGTCCAAACAGGCTGTAAAACAGCTGCAGTACATTCAAAATGCAGCAGCTCGAGTCCTGACTAGAACCAGGAAGTACGACCATATTAGTCCGGTCCTCAGGTCTCTGCACTGGCTTCCTGTGGCTCAGAGAATAGACTTTAAAACAGCTTTGCTTGTGTACAAGTCTCTCCATGGCCTCGCACCAAAATATATTAGTGACATGTTAGTCCCATATGAACCAGCCCGGACTTTGAGGAGTACAGGGACTGGACTCCTGTTAGTGCCCAGAGTCAGAACTAAACATGGGGAGGCTGCTTTTCAGATTCATGCTGCTAAAATCTGGAACATTCTTCCTGAAGATGTGAGACAGGCCTCCTCTCTGACAATGTTTAAAACCAAGTTAAAAACGGTGCTGTTTAGCTGTGCATACAACTGAGGGATTTTATATTTTTATCTTTCTTTTTAATGTTCTGTGATTATTTATGATTTTAATGCTATCTTGTTCAGCACTTTGAGTTGCCTTGTGTATGAATTGTGCTATACAAATAAACTTGCCTTGCCTTGCCTTGCCTATAGCCTTGGTCCTGGTCCTATAGCCTTGGTCCTGGTCCTATGGCACTGGTCCTATAGCCTTGGCCCTGGTCCTATAGCCTTGGCCCTGGTCCTATAGCCTTGGCCCTGGTCCTATAGCCTTGGCCCTGGTCCTATAGCCTTGGCCCTGGTCCTATAGCCTTGGCCCTGGTCCTATAGCCTTGGCCCTGGTCTTATAGCCTTGGCCCTGGTCCTATAGCCTTGGCCCTGGTCTTATAGTCTTGGCCCTGGTCCTGGTTCTATAGCCTTGGTCCTCGTCCTATAGTCTTGGTCCTGGTTCTATAGCCTTGGCCCTGGTCCTATAGCCTTGGTCCTAGTCCTATAGCCTTGGTCCTATAGTCTTGGTCCTTGTCCTGGTGCAAGCATTAGTTAATAATAACAATAACAATAATAATTATTATTATATTTTACATAGTTTGCATCATTACACGGTTATAAAAAACCCAAGAGGTGAAGGCCGAAGCAAGAAAGCATATAAGTGCCTACCCGTTATTCCGAGCTCCAGATAGACACCAATAGGGGTAAGAGCGTGCATGTATTTATTGCCTCTATCACATCTTTTCTGTTTCTAGAGAGGCCCACCCTAAATCAGCTCTAAGCAGTAACAATGCCATGTTTATAATAATAACAACACAGCAGGTCGAGTCTGATTAGTCACAAAATGTTTTTAAAAGACCCTGATGGACAAATGTATTTATGAACTTTTAATCTGGTATCCTTCCCCCCATTCTCTCTCCCCCTCTTCTTCTTTCCTCTCCCCTCTCCTCCTCCTCCATTTCTGCACACGCTCATACAATCACTCAACATTACACCAGTATTACCAAACCGTATTATATCGCCCAGCCCCAAATTACTATTATTTGTTAAAAACTCGAGAAGCACTTCTTCCGACCAAAGCTCTATCATTATGAAACTGTGAATGCAACGGGTGGACAAAGTCTCCTGGCATTAGATCTGGTATCTCATCTATAAAATGGTGCATAGACTATAGTTGTTTTTGTTGTAATTTCACTGGAACAGACTGTCTTAAAGCTCAGGAAGACTAGCACTGAATAGAACTAAATGTTATGCTTTGTTCACTATAGTTACATTATACTTACCACTGACACCATTACAACAGAAAGAGAACACCAGTAAACAAACAAAGAAGCAGGAGAAGGAAAACACGCTTCCATACATCAATTCAACAGTAATTATTGCATCAGACCCATCTTCATGAAAGACGAGGCCTTAAAATCAAGTCTCGGATCCCCCCCTCTCTGGTCCCCCTCTCTCTGGTCCCCCTCTCTCTGGTCCCCCTCTCTCTGGTCCCCCTCTCTCTGGTCCCCCTCTCACACTACTTAGAGATATTATTGCATCATACCAAGACTTATAACCCGTTAATATCAATGGTGATTTAATTTAGGCCAGATACAAAAAGTAACTTTGCGATTCACACACAGAGCAGATAAACATCCATACTTGAGCAGAGACCTGGCTCCAGACCATCTTCAACTTCGGCTTGGGTCACTGTACTCCCTCCACAACAGCACTAAATCCACAAAGATCGTCTCGGATTTTGTCTTGTCTTCGCCTTGAGAGCTGCTGCCATCCTCCACCAGAAACACTATTGCAGAACGCGCGAGTCTCAGAGTGCCCTGGATCTGTGCCTGGAAGTCCCCTGTGTGGCGGTGGGTAGTAACAGGGTCTATAGTGGTCTGTGTGGGAGCAGACTGGTGGAAGTATAAATACTCAGTCTGGCTCCAGTGACACCAGTCTTAATGCTGAGCTCTGTGGATGTGAATGTTAATGTCAAAGAACGTGACGCCCTGGGGAGGCTCAAAACGGACACACTCCTCGTGAACGGGTCTCGATTACAAAAATACTGCCCTAGATTGGAACTAGCTTACGATTTATATCAATGGGAGATGGAGGGCTTACAATTCAATCCATCACAAGTTGCTTCATCCAACCCTCTTTCTAAATGTTGTACTTGTTTGTGCTGATTATCAATGGTATAAAAATTGATTTATTTGTCCCACAGTGGGGAAACTTCAGTGTTGCATTCCAGGATTACAGAACAGCAGGGATAAGAGCACACGACACAAGTGAATATTAAGAATAGCACTACTCTATACTTATAAATGTGTTTGTGTATATGAGAACATTGTACAGGTTTTAAATAAACTTCTGCCCTGTTTCCACCTCCAGACCTTACTGTGTGGAGTTTGCATATTCTACCCATGTCTTTGTAA